TGTGTGAAGTCAGCATATAGTCTTATCTTCAAATCTATCTTTCATTAACTTTTATCAACCTTTTTTTTGCTTCTTGCAAACTTCATAATGCAGATATTAGATCTCATAATATAATTTACTGATTGATACCAGAGATAAAATATTTTACTTTTTGTTCCTAGATTAGGATTCAATTTTTATATTAGTATAGTCACTATTATGAATTTTTTTTGTTAACTTTTATTTTAGGTTTGGGGTACATGTGCAGGTTTGTTTAGTAACTCATTTTCTCCCTCATGGGGGTTTGTTGTACAGATTATTTAGTTATCTAGGTACTAAGCCTAGTGCCCAATAGTTATTTTTCCCGCTCCTTTCCCTCCTCCCACCCTTCACCCTCAAGGAGACCCCAGTGTCTGTTGTTTCCTTCTTTGTGACCAGGAGTTATATGAGTTATTTTAAATAATGAATTAAAATGTTTATCGGACTATAAAAGAAAAAGACCCAGGTAGTCCCCCTTATGCAAAACATTGATCAGAAAAAAATGAAATCAGAATCAACCTCCCTTTCTAAACTGGCTGGATTTGCTTTATGTGGGAAATGATTTTCTGGGGTGTGTGAAGAACATACTTGAGGTGCTATGGGGAGACATAGGAGGTAGAGCTCCCCAGCAGTGTTGAAATATGGTAGAAACTCAGTAATAAAGCTTTGAGGGTCGGGGAATGACATTTGAAAGGACAGTGGGGCACATATTTAGCAGACCTAATAGAACTCCTGCAGTTTAATGATTTTTTTTTTTTTTTTAAATTCTGAAAGACACTTACAAAGTTGCTTTAGACCTCACAGTCCCAAGGGCAAGATGGAACTTAACTCTGCAGATCTGTAATGTGACGTGCAATTAATGCTCTATGAGGCGTTTGCCGGAAAAGAGTTCAATGATCATCAGTTAAAACACTGTGATGATAATTTCAATTACTAACTAATTTCTAGATTTGAGAATATACTTTATTTTTTAAATATGATTACATTCCTTTCTGAGTCCTCATATGAGCTGAGAGTGAAAATCTTTGGCACTTGTCTATTCAACAGGAGCATTCTGCTATAGGAAAACGATACAAGTAGGGAACAACTGAACAGGAAAACATGATTTTTCAGGAGGGTTGTTTGGAAAGAGGAGCCCATTTTTAAAAGAGATATATTGGCAAGTTAGCAAACAGCTGTCCTAATAATTTATTAGAGGTTTTATTACATTTCACCAAGAAGAAATCACTGAGGTCACTTTTTAACTGAAGCAATTAAGTTATAAAAAAGACTCTTTCAAAGAAATCCAACAAGAAGAAAGCTAAAAGACCTGCTATTTCATCTTTTAGACAAGAGTGACACTTGACTGAATGCCAACAGTATGGACAAAGGTGCAGATGGTAAACGTACGGAAGTTAGGTCCAGCTACTGAGCTTAGCCCCAAATTCAACATGTTTCAGAACTTTTGAAGGAGGAAAGATGTGAAAGCACATGCTACATTGTGTCTACTTGTTTCTTAATTCTATGTTCATGTGTTGCTTTGATGTGATCATGTCAAGGAATAAACTTCCAGTAGAAAGAAGACAAACTTCATAAAAGGATTGATGAACCTCTCCTCCAGAAACTACTACAATGACCTGAATATAGCCCTTCCTTAATAAGTTATTGATGTCAGTGTTAATAATTCATCTACTCAAAACAGAAATAGTTCTGTTTCTGTTGCTATCCCACCCAGTTGATCACATAAAGAGAAAATGGGAGGATATATAGGATCCATTCAGTAGTTATGGTCATCTTTTCTCCTACCATAGTAAATGAGTTTGAAGTTCACATTGCTTGTAAAGTCTTTTGCACTAGTGTTTTGGAAGGGTAAGTGATTAGGTATATTCAGTGAGAACACAGAGAACGGAGTGACCCACCAGAAGTTTCTCCTCTTACATTGATTTCATTTTGAATATCGCCATACATGTCCTGGAATTTAGTTTAGAACCAGCTAAGATGAGAAGTAGACTTGGGGCCTGACAAACATACCACTTCCAGATCAATCTTGGCAGCTCTCTAAGTGAGTCGTAATCACTGTAAATCTTCTTTTACAGTTGATTTATATTGCAATTAAGGTAGAGAAGAAGCACATACAAGGCCAAAAGTGGAAAAGTAGCAGACATTTTTCATGGAAAGTTTTTTCCCCATAAGTCAGAGCACAAGAGAGTTTTCTAAAAAAAAAAAAAAAAAAAATTATGAGAAACTAGTCATGCTGACTGACATGATATGGGAGAATGTTAAGTCATCTGTGTTTTCTGTTTAAATGTATGTATTTCAGTTGATTAAAAAAGCACATGGTGAATTGATCTTGCAGCTTATAAAAGCTATATTTCAGCTTCGGTGTTTTTTATTCTTTTTTTTAATCAAATTATCTCCCAAAGCATTTTGACTGAAGTTTATTAACACAGCAATGCTGCTATTAATGCTTTGCAGTGCACTCTTGCAAAGTTAAGTAAGAGAC